TACAAAACTTTCTGTGACACAAATACTAATCATGACAATTTCATCATTCATAAGGGTTAAACTCTCAAATGCCAGTTGCCATAAACTTAATGCACTACCCTGGCCAAGTTCTCAAATCTGCAGTACAGCACTAACCCATTGAGGGCGTGTGTGGCAGTATCCATGTAAAAATATCAAGAAATGAGACATACTGTACAGTCCTTTCAAGTGCAAACTTAAAAAAAAGAAATAGTGTAACACAGTTTCACACATGTGAACTTACCAATAATAGCCTCAACTATAGGCTGACAAAGGGGCACAGTGTCCTTTAGTTTTCTGCCCTTGTTAAGTCCTCTTACACAAGAAACTCTAAGCACTTCTTTTGGGAAGAATATATCAACAACAAGATTGACATACTCTTCCCATTTGGTACATGCAGAGCAGATGGCTCGTTGGCTTCCATACCAGAAAATGCCACTCCAATCCAAGAACTCTTTCATCTGTAATAAAAGGAGTGTTGGCAGTTAATTGCTTGCTTTGCATGTCTGTCACTGGTTTCAATCTATCTAAAGGCATTTTCATTTATTTCATTGTCAAAGAGAATTTTGTTACGAATGTGGTCAACAAAATTAATAAAACTAAGAAAATTACCTGGTACTCAGCAGCAAGTTCACGATCAACAATACCAGCAGCTGGCTTCCCTGCCACGATAGAAGTCGGTGACTTGGCTTTCACTGCAAATTTAAATTAAAAAAACACATTTGTTTAAAGTGTAACAAAATCAAAATTCAATATGTGAAATGTTGTACTAGTGATGTGAGTGGTGACTGAGTCTCACTGATATAGGGCCTCTATCTTGATAATGCATGTGTTGAAAATCACAAGACTCAGCACCACACAATAGGATCGTCAGAGCTCCTCCTGCTTTTATGTACTAGTCTAATTATAGCAGGGTGATCCCCAAGCATTGTGTTGCCAGTAATGCAGTTTTGCACATCCTTGTGGGAGTAAATTGGGTTCTTCCCAAGGCTAGGAATTAAGATTAACTTGGACAGCCTGGTTCACTGGTGTTGATCGTGCCGACTTGATATCACTGATATCCATCAAAAGGCCACAATGAATCTTGTTTACAACTGTTGCGTGAATGATAAGGCAGTCATGTCTTCCGGCTGTTCACTTGAAGATAGGTTTTTTAAAAAAATAAAGTGCAACTAATATAGGTATACTTTTTAATAAGAATGTGCTGTTAATAAATCCTTACCTGCAGCATCAAGCCTCCCCTGTAGCTTCTTTACTTTCTCTTTTAGGGTTTTGTTTTCCAGTAGCAACAGTTTGCAGTCCATGTTGTCACATGATGTTGTGATCACCACATTTTCACGACACTCATCTTCGTCATCACTTAAAACATGTGTTGCCTGTTTTTTTGTAGATTTGTCCCTTGAGGTTGTTGGTGTTGACAAGGAAGGAGTTGGTCGTTGTGCCGTTTCCTTTTTTCTTTTTCCGTTTTGTTTTTTTTGTGATGCTACAGGATGAATAGCTGTGGCTGGAGGGGGAAGATCAATACTGTCTGCCTGTGGTTGTTTTCTTAAAGCCGGCAGGGAAAGAGGATGGCTATAATTGTTACCCTCTTGAAAAATCTCCGTAGGCTGATGTGGATTGCCAACTGACTGCTGGTTTTGAGAAGATTTGCCCCTTGAGGTTGTTGGTGTTGACAAGGAAGGAGTTGGTTGTTGTGCTGTTTTCTTTTTCCTTTTTCCGTTTTGTTTTTTCTTGTGATGCTACAGGAACTGTAGCTGGAGAGGGAAGATTAATATTGTCATCCTCTTCATGATCATGAAGCTCATGATTATCAGAAAGTCGACAAGAAGAACTGCTGTTTGCCTGTGGTTGTTTTCTGAAAGCCGGCAGGGAAAGAGGATGGTTATAAGTGTGTGATTTAGGGCTGATATTGTTAGGAGAAATTATATGTTAATCACTGTTAAAGGTTTAAGCAAACCACAACAGTGATGGCAATGAGGACATGACAAAACAAAGCGATCTTATGGGCAGTCAACAATGGCCCAGCGCTAACTTTTTTAAAACTTTGTCTTGCTTGGTCTGTGCATAGAAAATCCTGATGGCAAATTATTTAAGTTTTCATCTGGAACTCAATGCTGCTCACATAAATTAGATTATGCTGAAGGGGTAAGGTAACGAATCTGATCCAACCGATGCGTCGGCCGACATGTTGGCCGGACCTTATAGAAAGACTCTGCCTCGCTGGTACTTTCGCTTGGCTCCAAACTTCGACTCGTCGATCTCCACTGTTTTTCCTACACCTCCGATCTTCATGTCAGCGTTCATAATTTTCGTTGAACATACCGTTCGTAAGTCGCTCAGCGCACGGATCACTGTAGGCTTTGAAAGGCTAGTCAGTCTGGCGATGTTACTTCCAGAAGCCTTGATAGCCCACAGGAACATTAGATGAAGCCACGTACTCAGCGGGATGTTGGAACCTTCGAAAAACCAGGTTCGAAAAGCCAGGTTCGACAGCGGCTGTTTGTACAGCATCGGTGGTGTGTCGGTAGTGTGTCGGCCGACGCGTCGGTTGGATCAGATTCGTTACCTTTACCATGCTGAAGGTAAGATGTGACACCATTACAGATAGTACACACATACAGCAATTGGCAAAATTCTGAATGAATGTATATATTTTTTTTAATCCTTCAACTCCCAAAAGTGATTAAACTGTTACTTCTCCCTATAATAGCCAAACATGATCAACAATGGGAATACTAAAATTTATCAGGTAGATTAGTTGTATATATTATAACCTTGATTGAACACCAAATTCTTGTAACCAATTTACAAGGAAATGTGTAGCAGCTAGAGGAGAGAATTAACAATCAGATCTTGGGAGTTAAAGTGTTAATCTTTTCCTTGGTGTTGCCCTCCTGAATGGACCAAGGTTCCTATTATTGACAGTGTCTTGGTTTGTTGCT